CATCCCGCCGCCTCCTCCCTACAGCCAGGGTGGTGCTCCAGAGCCTCTCCCCAGAGTACGCCCACTAGCTGAATTTTGTCACTCTAAGTGTTAAATAAGTGAGTAAATAAATAAATAACATTAAGGGAAAAGGACATCCCTTCCTAAACATCAAGACTTTGCATAAGCTGAATAGGGCAAGAGTGCAATCAACAGTTATCTTAAAAGTGAATCTTCTTTTCATCCACCTCTCATTTTTCCCTTAAATGAGGAAACACATTGGCCTAGCAAGGATAGTATTTGTGCCTTGAGGATAGCAGTTATAGAATAGATCCATCTAAGATACGGTATTCTGCATTTTGTTGCTTTATTTATTTTTTTAGAGAGGGTAATACCAGTCTTCAAAGAAAATGAGGTGAAGACGATTGCTTCAGTAATAACATCTATGTTTTGAGATGGGTGTGTGGTCAAGTGTGCTTTTAGGGTTTTCTGTATTTAGGAGATCCAGAATTCTTGATTTTTGGCCAACTTTCAGGCAAGTAAAAATCTGGGAAGCCTGTAAATTTTTCTAAGTTTACCCAAAAAAATGCTCTGTTCCTTCTTTGGCACATGCTTATGCTGCTGGAGGCTAAATCCTCAATAAAACCTAAGGAGGAGACTAATAATTCATTAAAATAAATCAGTGGTGTTGCTACTAATTCTGATCCCGTAGAATTGTTGATATGGATAAATAGCATATCCTGGGCAGATGAACTCAACCTGAGATTAAAGTATGCTTTGGTCACAGTTGCCTACGAATATGGGTTTCAAAGCAAACATAAAGCCTTAACTTAGAATTTCATTATGTTTTAGAATCATCACTGCCTTAATGTTCAAACATTTAATTTAAGTTCTCCTAGCAAAGGAGAAATGCATGTTTGTTTATGGCTTTTTGTAAATATATATGCAGTGATCTATGGCTTTACAAATTGTGTGTGTGTGTGTGTGTTTCTGTGACGTTTGTTAACCCAGCCAGTAGAGTTATTTACAGAAAAATGGAGCATGTAATAGTTCTTCATGTGTAAGTAAGAACTGTTTCCCCTCAAAACCTGAGTTACCTGAATTGTTCTATTATTTTACTGAAACTCAGTGATTAAAGAGAAGTGAGAATTCTACCTTTTTTGTGAATTCTTCAACATACTCATAATGTGACTTACTTTGTTGCGTAACTTTTCACAAACTCATCTTCTGAAGGTCACATGAGGAAATGACTGCCTAGTTATTTTCATTATTATATTGCCTTTGTTCATGAAAATTTGCTAACAGTTTTGCTAATAGAAAATGAAAAAGACATTCCATTACCAAAGCTTCTATTTTGATGTAGTTTTTATTTTGATAAAAATTATCCACTCTAGGATTTAAGTTTTGGGAAAATTTTTTCAAAGGAGACTACTCTGATTTTTTTTTTAATCCAGGTGTCACCATTTTATAATAGAGTGTCTTTTATCTTTGTTAGTAATGTGCTTCTGGCTTAAGAGCAAAAATGAGTGGTCCTCTGCTCAGTCACTAATTGCAGGAAAGCCAAATCTATGTGTTTGAGTCCCTTGAGATAAGGGAAATAAAAGTAGAAAAATTTTGTAGACTTACCTGAAAGATGCTAAGTAAGTTCTGAAGCTACTTTTGATTGGAAAAAAAGGTATCAGTTTAAGTCTAGTTGAGAAGTTGTTCTTGTTAATAGTGGCAAAAAACAAGGAGATATTTTCATGTAATCCTTTATAGTCTCAATTTTAGAATGTTTATCTTAGTTTCAGTCCAAACCTAATCTCATGCTGACTCAGAAGAGCACTTCCTAGCTGGTATATTTAAAACATTGCTTCTCAAACTTGTCCTCGGAATACTCTTAAATAAAGAGCAGGAACATGTCACTTTGGAAGATCTAGGAAGGAAGCCTTTGAAATGTCGAGTATTGTGCAGTTTTATTTTCCTTACATCTCATGGTGTAGGTGTGTGTTCTCATCTGAAGTGTGTTAAAGTGCCACTGATTAGATTTGACACCAGGAGAGTACACGTCAGTCTTTTGGCTTAATGCTTCCTCCCAATATGTAAAATACTGTTAAATGACGTGAATTTTAATCTTCTTCATCTTCTTCAGCAAGATGTTGGCTAGTCTCATGTTCCAATGGTCAAGAAGACAGTTGACTAAATACCTTTTTTATGCAATGTTTAAATCCCAAGGGTTCTCTCAGTTGTGTGAACTGTATTTATTAGCAGATACACCGATACACTAATTTACATACCAAGAGAGTCAAGCTAAAGAGCAAATGGAAAGGATTCTCAGGTTGTTGGTGTCCTCAAATTAACAAATTTGGGCACTGTATTTTAAAAAATGCATGTTTGAAAAGAGCAAAATGCCCAAAATATGTGAATGAATAAGAGCATTTCCATAATACTTACACCGGAGGAGTGTCAACATTCACTCAGTTCTTCCAACAAACTTTTGAAAAAAAATTAAATTTCATATATTGCCTTACTAATAAATAACAAAATAAATACATTTGTAACTTTGTTCTAAACCCATAAAATCAGAAATAGTGAAGGTTGTCATAGGAAAAACTTGCTAAGGCCCTTCCGTTAACTTTTCTTACTTTACCATCAAGTAAGTTAGTATTACAGAACATAAAGGCTAAAAACAGCAACAACAAAATTAAAACAAATAATACTCTCTTTTAGTGAAATATTTTACTTTTATCAGTGAAATAGTCAAATATTTCAGAAAGTGAAAACGTCTTAAAAAAAATAAAATCTCCATAGCAACTTTGTTATTCTCAAAAGTATGTATGTTACCTCAATGTAAACAAAGACTTTTTCTCTTTTTGGCTTAAAGGAGTGAGCTTATTAGCAGGGTGTGTGTCAATAAGACCTCATTCCAAGCTTGGCATCTTCTTACCGCTTCTGCTTGCAGCTTTTACTCTTTGCTTTCTGGTGATCCAGTGTTTTTTCCATGTCCTGGGTGAAATATTTGGTTTTATGATTGCATCTCAAACATGTTGCTGCTTAAGACTGAATTTGAAACTGATCCCTCTCCTACTTTATCTTCTTTTTCCTGTGCTATAACAAGAAATTTAGTGACTTCAGAAAATGTAGAGCTTGTGCTGCAATAAAAATTTGGCAGAAGTCAGTGCATCTGAATTAACATCACAAAAGGATATCTAACCTTAAAATACTCCTCAAAAGTTTTCCCTATTTAAAAAGTGAGCCTTCAAAAATTAAGATTTTACAGTATACTTTTGAGAAACCATTCAAACTTTGGCAAACTGTGGCTCAGAAACTGTTCATATTGTTTTAGTTCAGTTGGTGGTAATAGATTCTGTTTGGTTATATTTCAGGGTCTAACTCTATTAATGAGTTGTAAGCTGGTATCAGTCCTTTTTTCTTTTTCACCTTTGTTTTTGGTAAGATGTGATGTAGTTTAAAATCATTTAAATCCCATTTCTCTAATGAGACATGTACCTAAGTAGTTAAGTGTTCAGATTTCAAGTTCTCTAATTAGCTACCATGTTTCCTCCCTGACGTTTCATTGTCTTGAAATTACATTAGAGAAGTCAGTCATGAGGATTCAGGTGAGTAGCTCCAAAACAGCCTTCGCAGAGTCATGAACAGTATCAGGACCAGTAGTTTTTTTCTCAAATTAGTTAATTTCTATTTTTCTTCAGAGAACATGCAGATTTTAAAGCAAATGAAATTGCTAACAGTTCTTCCACATTTATAGGCTTAGTGAATAGTTATAACCCTCCTGTGGTGCTGGAAATAAGACTAGTTTATGGTATGTTTTCAGGTTGACAGTCCTCAAGTTTTAATAAGCAGAGAAATTGTTTCATTTTAAAAGATACATTGGGAAGAAAGGCTTGTTTGTATTTTGAGCTAAATGGGAGAAAAAACTCATTTTCATATGTACATGTGAAGCATCAATTTTCCACTAGTTACTGAGGAGAGTCATACATTGTGTTGGCTGCCTCTCAATAGTCACACCGATTTAGCACAAGCAGTGAATGTGAAGAGAGTATTGCTTAAAAAGTAGAGAATACTGAATAATGGCATTAAATGTAAATACATCCACTTAACATCTTAGAATTTTCTTGGAAACCTTGCCAAAACAATAATGTACTTTCTCCTGAAAGAGGGATAGGAAAATGCCAACAGTGCTTCCTGGCGCTGGCAACTTATGAAATGTACAAATTGAAATTCACTTTTTTTTTTCAAATTTCACACTACAAAAGCCAGCATCAAGAGCAAAACTGATAACAAATCTGTGATGGAAAGAACTGTTCACCATGTTGAGTCTCTAGTAATGTTAACCGGCAAGTTAACTGCACCAAAATGATAGAATTAGGAAGGACCCTAGGTATTAATCCCCTCATTTTATAGGGCAGAGACAACAATGGCCAGTGGCAAAGCTGGGATATCCAAAAACAAAAAGTATAGAGGGTGGGGAGGGATAAATTGTGAGTTCGGGATTTGCAGATACTGAATACAAACTAGATAAACAACAGGGTCTTATACAGGGAACTATATTCAATACCTTGTAACAGTCTATAATGAAAAAGAATATGAAAAGGAATATATATGTATATGTATAAATGAATCAGTATGCTGTACACCAGAAATTAACACAACATTGCAAATCGACTATACACCAATAAAAGCCAATTTTCATTCTAAAAAAAAATGGTGTAGTTAGTTCTCAGCTCCTAGGAAAAAGGACAATGGTGCTAGTTTTACTTACTGCACTGGATACTGGAGTTATCCCAAGACTGTGTTCAGGAAGATACACGGTTGCTTTGATCTGGGAGACTATACTTGAAAAGAAAATGTTTTGCTGTAACACCTTGGGATGACACAAAATCAGTATGAGGGGCATGGTATTAATCTGCAGAGCTACGGCGTTTAGACTGGTGCAGGGGTAATTCAAGCAAATCAGGATGAGGAAAAGGGCCAGGGAATGAAGGTAGTCTATGGATTGGTTAACAGGCCCAGGCAAGGACCCCGAGTCGACAAGTTAGGAAGCTGAGTTTTGAGGACTTGTAGAGAGTGAAGACCCATCAAACTCCAAATAACAGCTCTCCATGCCCACAGGAGTTCTAAACAATTTTGAATAGCCAGTCATTCATTAAAGGGAAACGATCCAGCTATTTGTATTTGATCTCATCAATACATTCAGGAAAACCACAAATCTCTGTTGGCATTTTATATACACTACCTCATCATCTTCACCACTTCCTGTGTCTGAATTGTTCCCATCTTACAGGAAAAAATGACATTCTGAAGTCCTCCTTCCAGCCTTATGTGATACTTTCCACCCAGTGCTCCAGCTGCCCCTCACCTTGGAGATACTTTGGAGCCTTCACACACTCAAGACTGAACACAAGCTTTCTGTTGGATCAGATTTTCCTTGGGTCACAGGAGAAATGATCCCTGACCCTCACGCATTTGTTCAGGATAAAAAAAGAGATAATACCCAGAAGAGGCTTTGAACTTGCAAATTCAAGTGGAATTACCGCATCATGTAGCTGGCTAGTGGAACTCGGGACAGAGTTCAGCCAGGGCATCAAGAGCACGGCACTGGACCTCTCCTGGCCCCAGTGCCCCAGTTAGCCCAGCAGACAGTGGGAGATGTTCCCTGTGGTACCAGGGACCACCCTCATGTGCCCTCAGTCACAGCCACAGGAGCCTCTGTTTCTTGCCCATCTTGCTTCTCAGTAGCCCCCCAACGGCAGCACCAAGGTTGCATTGGACTCAAGGCCAGACACCCTAAAAAGTCCCAGATGTGAGGACTCCAGCTGTGCAGCTCAGCCTGCTCATCCAGCTACAGGAGTCAAGAAAGGGATGGGCTAGGTCTCTTGCACTTAGGGAGGGGGAGAGAGGGAAAGCAAATTTGATTCTGGGTTCAAATCATTTTGTAGCATGGTCTTGGATGTACAGATAAGTTTCACAATAGTGGGCAAGGTCCAGAATAAAAGAATAAAGCTAAAAACCAGGGCAAGTCTCTCTGAGTAGCCAAAGCCCTATGTACTTGCCCAAATGTAGCCAGGTCTTCCTCGAATTTAGTCTTCCCCTTCCCCTTGTCCCTCATCACTCTCTCAGATCCACACTCTATCTTTCCAAGGTTTCCAGCCCCTCCGGCCCTGCCCCTGGACAACAGCATCCCCGACCTCAGCCGGGCCTCACCCAGTAGGTGACCTCAGGACCTGCAGGAACCTCTGTCAGATGCCACAGTTCCACTTGGTAATTTTTTTTTAATTTCAAGAAAAAGAGGAGTCTGGAAAGTTTTACTAATGAGACATCCAAATATGATAGAGTGAAGGATGAAACAGAGAGCCCTCCGCGCTTGGCTTGAGGACTAGCAGAACCAAAACCTAACTGAGATCATCACCTTGAGGTAGGAAGAGGGACGTTGGCACTGAATTATAACACACTTAACTCCCAAAGATGGGAGGATTTCCCCTGAAAGTTTTGTTAGTGACCTAGAACCCTAATGGTTCTAGCATTCTGGTAAACATTTAGCCTTTATTTAGACTTGGACATCAAAGGCCAGTTTGGACATCCCGATTTAATCTGAATGGAAATTGGGACCTAGAGTGACTTTATCCACAGAGAAACAAGCTAAGCCTTGGCTAACACAAATAAGGTCCCAGAGGGACTTTATCAGATATTTGAATAAATGCCTAAAGAAAGATGCCAAATGCAAAACATTCTTATCTCTTCAAAGAGGAATCTTCTAGTCATTATTCTGTTGACCAAATTATTTGCTCAAAAAATACACTACAAACCTTTAAATTTGAGCCCTTCCTTTGTTCAAACTGGCTCTTCTCAATTCTAGATTATTATATGTTTATCCCAAAAGCTATAGAATTTATAACCTTTATCTTTAAAAAATGAATTTTTCTTAAGAAAACATTCTGCTATAACTTAGAGCAGTTCAAACTGACTCAAGCTCTCATTAGGTAAGTACATCGGGGCTGAGTAGGTGGGCTCTGTCCCTCACTCACACTGGTGGATACCTTTCCCTCCCAATCAAACACTTCTGATTGTTTTAGAGTGAGCTTATTATTCTTCTGCTTATAGAAGGGGGCTTGAAAAACTACTGACTAATGTGGGCAGGCTGCCATAGCTGGAGGGTCCTCAAACAGTGCTGAATCCAACAGCCCCACTGTCCAGACACAGTGGGAAATCAGGGCCACTTCTTGGGGATGAATCCAGATGGTTTCTTCATTCAGAGTAAAAAGGGTGAGTAGAACCTGGAAACTGCTTCTAGACTGTAAAGTGTCGAACCTCAATAGGCAAAATACACCTTTTAATGACTGTTGTATTGTAATCATTCCTGCATTTCTGGTGTTTTGTAAAGACAAACCAATAAATTAAGCAAAAAACCTATACTTAAACAGACAAGACATTACAAAGACCAATTATGGAAAGCAGTTGTTGACAAATACAGTCATATATTCTGTCTGCTCATCATTTAGAAGATGGAAAGTCTAGAGTTCAAGCACAACCTACCTTAAGCAAATGCAAACTGTGTAATTACAGAGTGGCTAAGTGGATATTCATGTTACAAAATGGTTTTTCAGAGCATTTCTCTACATAGCATTGTCACTTCACATTTAAACTATAACTCATTTACAAACATTTAATTTATATACAACTTCAGGAAACGTGCACTGGGGTAAAATGAGCGGGGAGGAAAGCCGGGAGAAGGGAGAAAGTAACAGCCCCATTTCGTAAGTGTCTGTCTGGGCTTGTAGGGCTCCCAGATGTTAGGTGTAAGACAGGACTGGAGGAAGCATGTGGGCTGCAGTAATCACAGTGACATTCTTTTTCAAATAATCATTCTCAGTCTACCTCCAAAGATAGGTTTTGTCGAACTACAGCTAAAACTTCCCAGATGAAGAGACTAGCATGAGGCTACAATGTATGAAATCTGGGACATACAGGATATGGTGCATCCATAGATATAACATAAGGATATGTCACCGGGGACACAAGGATATTCATTTGGATATAGGCTGGAATTTTCTCTATAAAAGCAGATCTTTGTTGCAAGAGAAAATGAGGCAACAGATATCTGCTAGGTTCAACAGATTAGGAAAAAATTTGGTCTAAACAAGCCCAGTACACTTGGCTTGAGGCACTGGGGTTGTGGGGGCAGAAAGAGCCTCTGCCAGTTGGCCCAGGGCTGACATGAGGGCATCACTGAGGGAGGCCCTTCAGATTCCCCAGCATCCATTTGTCTTCCAGTGGAGAGATAAGCCAGGCAGAGGCGGAGACTGGCATTACCAGTTTGCATTTTGTAAATAGCTAAGCAACAGAAGCGGGTAACACATGAATATGGGAGTTTGGAGAGTAAACCAAAACCTATACGATGAGGTTCATTTCCTCTGGTTCTGCTACAAAGAAGGAGGGGAGGAAGGAGGGAGAGAAGAGTGCGTGAGAAGAAAAGGAGGAGGGAGAGGAGGAGGAGAAAATAAGAGACCGGGGTGGGGGCAGGAGGGAGAGAGGGAAGAGAGGATGAATGACTTTCAGATGGTCTTGTTCCCAGGGAATTATATTGTGGCAACTCAGAGGAGTCTGTGAGTGGACACGGGAATTACAATTCTGCTCACTGTAAGGGACGGCAAGAGAGGTCTCGACAACACTTTGGTCTCCAGCGTTTGGGGCCTGTTTTCCTGCTTGGACTCCGTGAGAACGCGCTTTGCGGTTTTCACAGGAGGTCTTGGCTCCCTGGCTTTGAATTTGGCTTTGTAGCTCTGCACTCCTTGTTTCTGCAAAAGCTGCAAGGTAGCAAGACAGCGAACACTTCTGGGGTGGGGAGGGCACACCAGGTTTTTCTCAGGCAGGAGGGACCAGTGCAAGCAGCACGGCTTGGGGTCAGCCAGCAGGGACGTCCGGGTCACCGGGCTCGGGAAGAGCTGCGTTTCCTTGACCTGATGGTGTATGGCTGGCTCAGTGGGTCTCTTTTCACCTGTCCTGTCCACTGTTTTTAATCCATTTGCATAAGCCACACACTCATCCTTTTCCACACTAAGCACCTTCTCTTCTGGCTGAGAGAGAAAGTTCTTACTCTTCTTACCCAGAACATCCAAGCCATTTGGGGGTGAAGCCTTCAGGGGAGGTAGAACTAAAAGAGCCTTGGAAGTCAAGGAGTCTGAGAGGGAGGGACCTCTGTCAGTGCCTCCTCCAGGACTTCTGGGATCCTTGCCCCTAACAGTCTCAGGGGCCACCCAGTCTTCCATGCACCAAATAAACTCCTTTATTTGCAGACTTTTTTTCTCTCCTTGACTGTAAGTGGGAAAGCAGATCTTGTTAACTTCCCTTGAGGCAGTGATGGGGCCTGGGGGGTGCCCTGGTGGTTGGGAGAGGCTGCCTCCATCCTTCTCTGGGCCTGCCTCAGCTGGAGCTGAAGACCCTGACTCCAACTTCCCGGCCTCCAGTTGAAGCCTGGCCTCCAGGCTCCCTTGTGAGAGACTGACACAGAGTAAGCAGCTGCTGGCACTTTCTCCCACCCTCTCCTTTTTAAGCTTCTTCCTGGGCCAGATGCAGGCAGTTGGAGAAGTCCTTCCCCAGCCTTGGACCTGCAAGTAAAGCAGCACGTTACTCTCAGGTGAGTGCCCAGTCTCTGGCTGCCTCCACTTTGGCCACATCTCCATTTTGGCTGTCCTCCTGTCAATATTTTTCTTAAAATTGCCTCATGTGTTTTGTTTTAATTTTTCACACCTAGGTTAGCCTCATGCTAAGCAATAGTATAGTAATATTTTTAAAAACTAAAATACTAGGGGATAGTATCTATAAATGGCGACATTGATATGCTGACTATGTATTTGTTCAGATGCACGTTAAAATAAATTCAGAACTCCTAAAATAAAATCAAAACTGTTTGTATTTGTCCCCCTCTGCCAGGCTTTTGGGTACTGAAGGCTGTGTTTACCACACCTAAGAGCCTGCTGCGTGGACCGACTGGAGGAAGGGCAGGTGAGCAGAGGCAGGCCCTGGGGTCAGCGTGGCCCAGGCACAGCCATGCCCACAGCCACACCCGGAGTCCCCCGGCCCACCCTGCCACAAGGTCACAGGTAAATATTGTTGCTAGATGAAAAGACAAGACCCTATTTGGGACATACTTATACTAAAAAGATTAGGTGCTGTTTACTGAAATTCAAGTTTAACTGGCTGTCCTGTGTTTTCATTTGCTAAATCTGGCAACTGTTACATGCTAAAAAAAAAAAAAAAAAAGCAAAAATAGCTCCCATGATTTTACTGGTTCCAGGCACTGGGCTGAGGATCTTTTAGCATTCATTCATTTAATCCTCATAACAACACTACCGTTTAAGTATTCTGCCATCCAGGTTACAAAGGAGGAAATGGAGGCTCAAAATGTTGAGTAGGGCCAACAACAAGCTCTGGCACATTCAGAAGGTCTGTGCATTCCCACGCGAAGTGGGGCCAACCCTTGGTCCTGCACAAGAACATCCCTTTACCCTCATCCCCACACCTCACATGCTCAGCTCCCCAAATTCCTCAGTTAAAAGTTATTAAGTGTCACGAGGTATCACTTTTTAGAAAGTCTAGTAAGTGTTTGGCACTGAATTAGGCATTCGTGTCCACCTGAAAGGTGGGGTAGAGCTGGGCAGGCACGGGTCGGAGGCTGAGCAGAGAGAGCAGAATAGCAGGCAGCAGGCTGGAGGAAATGGTGTGTCAGGAGTGTCCCAGACAGTGTGAACAGCAAACATACACTAAGCATGGTGCGAGGGGGGGATTTTTCCAATGAAAAGAAAATTCTTTCCCAATAGCCCTTGGATATATATTTCAAAGTAATTACCTTCGATATTAAACTGAACCTTCTAAACTTAGAAAGTTTTACATTCTTAAATAGAACTCTCTACCACCTTGACTTATCTGACATGGAGGGTGTGTATGGAAGGTCAGAGAGGCTTAAGGAGGCGGGGGGCAGTACAGCAGAGAGAGCACTCCTAGAGGAGGCCTGAAGACAGGATTCTTGCAACTGTCAAGTGGACTTGGGTGAGTCATTCTGCCTTTCGGCCTCAGTTTCCACATTTATAAAATAAACAGCTCCAGGTTTCTCAATCTCGGCACCACCAACATCTGGGGCTTTTTATGGGCTGCATGTTTGTGTCCCCCCAGAAAATTCCTATTTGAAACCCTAATCCCCAGTGTGATAGTATTTGGAGGTGGCTGTTCAGGATGTGTTACCGTTAGGTGAGGTCAAGAGGGTGGGGACTCAAGATTGGATTAGTGCCCTGATAGGAAGGAGAGAGAAGAGAACTTTCTCAATCTCTCTCTCTCCATCTCTCTCTCTTTCTCTCTGCTTGCATGCACCAAGGAAGGCCAGCTGAGGATGTAACCAAAGAACAGGACCTTCAGCAAGAACCTGACCATGCTGGTACCCTTTGATCTTGGACTTTCCTCCCAAACTGTGAGAAATAAATGTCTGTTGCTTAAGCTAGCCAGTCTATGGTATGCTATTATAGCAGCCCAAGCTAAGACAGGGCCGGATCACTCCCTGTGGTGGGAGCCATCCTGGGCATTGTAGGATGTGGAGCAGCACCCTTGGCCTCCACCCAGTATATCCAGTAGTATCCCTACCCCCTCACCCACAGTTGTGACATTGCCAAGTGAGAATCACTGGACTAGGCCAAATTCTCTTACAGTTCTAAATTTAGAATTGTATTGCTACTACTGATTCTCAGAATAGTTTAAGAATAATCCCATAAGGTTCTGAGTAGAACTACCAGGATAGAAATCTCGGGTCTCTTTGGGAGTTAAGCAGCTTGGGTTCTAGAGTCCAGAAGACCTAGGTTCAAGCCCTGCTTTGGTCACTGCACGGGTGATCTTTGACACATTTCACCTTTCCGTTGCTTCAGCATCCTTGTCCTAAAAGGCTGTTCATAATACCTGCCTCACAGAGATACTGAGAGAGTGAATGAATTTGATGTACATGAACATTTAGTGCTGTTCTTGCCAATACTAAATGGCCATAAATATTCAATAAAAAGTACTGCTGTTATCATCATTAATATTCTACCTCTGTTCCAAAAATTTCCATATTTCATTGTTTACACATTTTTTGGCAATAGTACTATTTTTGGAAAAAGTAAAAGACTTGCATCAAAACAGTCACATGCAAGAGACCTAACTCAAGAAAATACTCACTGCTTCTTCCCATCCAGTTCCAATGATAAACTCTTTGGCTTTTTCATCTTGTTCAAGTGTAATGTCACTGATACTGAGAAGACAATAAACATGATTCTTTTCACTTCTTTCATCGGGACAAGTACAGATTAATTCAGTATCTTCTGTGCTTTGAATTTCATTATTTTCACAATTTTCTGATTCAATTTCATTTTTCTGACAGAGATCCATTTCTGTGATGGTTGCTTAAAGTCTTTAACATCTTCTTCCTGTAGTTTGAAATGCAAACGGGACATAGTTTTTAATATATTTTTTAAAAAGAAAACTCAGGTGAAATTTCTTCAAGACACATTCAGGGACAGAAGAAATATTACAAAACCATGCATTGCCAACTATTGACATTATAAAGATAAGGCTAATTTTACAGAATAATGGACTTATAGACCAAAGTTGGGAGTGAAGAAAAGAGAACAGGAAGATGTTAGCAGAGAGTCTATCCCTCGTGATGGGGTGTAGAATGTGGTAAGGGATGTAGGGTTAAGCACCCCCACCCTCCACTCCAAAAACATCCAGATGATACTGCACTAACATCAAGAGAACCATCGTGGTATGTGTGGCTTATGCACACCTTCCTAACAACCCTGGACATCGGTTTGGGGATCCTTTGGCTTCCAAGGAAGCTGGTGGAGCATGTCGTCTAAGCTAAGTCAGCTGGCTCCCTCACCCACTCTATATGATGGTGTCCTTATAGAGAGGGGAAATGTGGACACACAGAGAGGGAAGACAGTGTGAAGAGTCTCAGGGAGGAGACAGTCATCTACAAGTCAAAGAGGGAGGCCTGGAACACATCCCTCCCTCACAGCCTCAGAAGGAAACAACGTTGCCAACACCTTGATTTTGGGCTCCAAGACTCTAGCTAGAACTGAGACAATAAATTCCTGTTGTTTAAGCCGCCCAGTCTATGGTGCCCCATTACAGCAGTCCTAAACTCAGTCAGCAGGTAGTAGTGGTGGTACTGGTGAGGTGCTGGTGATGGTGATGATGCTATCTACCCAGAACTCATGTTTTTCCAGGTTGAAAAATGGGACTTGGCATTTATAATCCAGTTAAAGGTTTAGGAAAGTTACAATCCCAATCAGGAGCACAGATTTGGGTTCCAATCATCTGGATTCCAATCCTATTTCCTAGCTGTGTGTTTTGTTGGGCAAGTTACTTTTCTGGGTCTGTTTGCTCATCTATAAAACAGGCATGATTATAATACCTTCCCACATGCAGGTTCCTCCTGGGGACCCCACAAGCTGGGTAGATGAACTCTAATGCCCAAGCAGTGGCCACCAACATTACATCAGCACAATGAACACCAAAGAACAGCCAGGGCCTTCTCAAAGAAACCTTTGCTGGTAATGAGATAGAGGCAACTGGGACCACAAACCTTGCTTTCTCTCTCCCCAAAGTAACCCCTGCCAGAAACCTACATTTTTCATTTTCTGTTTAGGTAGAGATCAGCAACTTCTCTTAACAATATCTGTTAAATTACCATTTGGGCTTTTTCACATAAAGTGGCATTTGGATGGTAAGAAAGTTCCATTTACCTATGGAAGGTCAAATAGCTTTGGGCAGCCTAACCTCTTCCAATATGACATCAGAAGAAATGAATGAAAGCTGAAAGGAAAAAAATGATATTACAATTAACTAAAAACGAGAAGCGCTGATTAAGGGCCAGACATATTGTGCAAACCACCTGATTCTCTCATATTGTGAAATGTCACTTTAGTCACTGCCTAGGCCAAAGAAGCTCCATAAGGACACTTAGACCTTGTCCTCTTCTGTATTACAAATATGTCTGTATCACAGAATCCGTAGACTTAACAAGTGTACAATTTGAAAGAACAAAAACCAGAAAATCAAAAACAAAGTCATTTCTTAATAAAATAAATTTGAACTTGAAGTTAATATAGAAAAGAAATACTGTTTAAAAGAGATTAACTATAGTTAGAATGTTCAAGTCGATAAGAAAAATGTTCTGTGCTTGAAGTATCTCCAGTGAGAAGGCGCTCACTACTTAAAGACACTGTTTCAATGGCAAAGTGCTCTAATTTTCTGATTCCCAAACTCGGCTGCACCTTGGAATCTTCTGCGGAGCTTTATAAAAAATAAAAATGCTCAGACCCCACCCACAGAAATTCTGACTATAGTTGGTCTGGGCACAGCCAGGCCATCAGAATTTTTAAAATCACCCTATGTGATTCTAAAATCCTGCAGAGTGGAGAACTCCTGCTCTGTTAGCAAGGTTCCCTTATATTGAGCCAACTCTGCTTGCCCTGCCACATCAACATCCTCCACTCCATGGTCCCAGTTTTACCTTCCACAGCGAGGCTCTGGATGGGAAGCCTTCCCATCCTTGGATGGGTTTCTGGAGGTCTGTGACACCTTTGAACATGCTCAATCATTTTTTCAGGGAAGGGCTTGCATCAGAGTTACAAAGCAGTCTGTCACTACAAAGGGTTGAAGAATCATTGATCCAGAGACTTGCCATTGCCTCAGCCTCCCGAGAGCCCTATGAAAATGTTCCACGTACTCTTCTCCCTTTCAGGTTAACTATCTCCAGCTCCTTCAACTATTTCTCACATGTCATGAGAATATGTAAACGCTGAGGGGAAGACTGTATCACTAGCCCTATATCCAGAGAAAGGAACTGCAGAGGCCAAAGACGTGATTTTGGGTAACCCCCATTTCAGAGTCAGTAGAAGACAGACCTAGAGAGAGTGCCAGAAGAGGTTCCAGCCACATTACATTACCAAGTGCTGAAAGAAACCTAAGTAACAACAAGAATTTAATAATAAAACTTACTGTTACATTGCTCTTCCTATGTGCCAGGCATTGCTATAATATGCACTTTACATATTTATTATAAATACTACATTTTTATAAGTACTTTGTTCATTTAATGAGGGATCATGGGAACTACAGTGACTCGTTAGGACTGAAAACGAAGTTATCATCTCTTAGCTGGTAAACGCAGTATTCCTAGTCAAATGGTCAGATTACTGCACATCAGACTGCTGGGTGCTCCTCTGGACATGGGTGTTCTTAAAGCTGGGTCAAGATACTTCACTACTGAAACAGAATATTTGTGGTCTTTTCCTAATTAGAAAAAAAAATTCAGTTATTGGAAAGAATTGCCTTAATTTTAAGTTTTCTTCCTGTAAACATGCCCTCAAGATTTATTGCCCACGCTTGTCCTCCAGCTCATGTAAGATGAAAAAATGTACAAGAAGCAATGACAAATTTCTTACATATTACACGCAGTTTTCCTTTTACGATGGAATACAGAAATCTGTATTGATATAACACTCCTATTTTCTGATAGTAAACATTATCCCTGATTTACGGATTTGAAGTAAATCAGAGCACATGCTCTTCCACTTCTTGACTTTCACGGAGCTTTACAACTTGATTTGGTTTGAGAATCACTGGTATAAAGCATATATCAAAGTCCATATGTTTTCCTAGAAAATCACATCAAGGAAATACAGACATCACAGTGAAAATGCTCCCACAGGAAAATGCATTTGCAGATGCAACTAGAAAACTGGATTTGGAGTACAAAGCAGGAATGCACACAGATCTATGCCAGAAGGTATTCAATTCCATGACATACACTATTGAAGTGACTAGAAACTGAAATGTACAAAGAAGAAATGTTGACTGAGGTCCAAGCCCCCAAAGTACAGGTTTGGATAAACAAGAATAAACCCAAAGAAAAACTGATCCAAGGAACTTAAGATATTTGGAAATGAAAGAAAGAAGATGAATGAGAGTCTAAGAAACAGAGTCTATGGAAATTCACTACAATACAGAAAATATCTTTTCTTGTAGCATTTAAAGTAAACAGAAATAAAACGGAAATGATCAGCAAAACACTGTAGTTTATTATTTTTACTAATTAAACGTAAGTCATTATGATTTGCTTCAAAATAATCCTGCAAGGCTGTGGTTAGACAGAGACTGAGGAAATAAAAGTAGCCACAAAACTGTTGTAGAAGGGTATGAGGTCATAAAGTTAACTGTACTATTTTCTACTTTTATGTCAATGTGAATTTTTCCATAATAAAATTTTTTTCAAGCCACCATGTTATCAGAATGGTTCAAGAAACAGAATGTGGGATAATAGTGGAGGTGAGCAAATAGTGAATTTTGACCTTAAGTAAACTGAAATAAATGTATCAGAGAATAGATTACCCAGTCTGTATAATATTAAGTTGGAGTAAAGACCTTGAATAGGGACTAATTTAAACAGAACAGATCTACCACAGAGACATAAAAAAAAACAGAGAATAAAGTTTATGAAGGTGATTTAAAGAAACTCCATAAATAATTGTCCAATCACTCTTCAGTTAAAATAATCAAGGCCTTCTCGTTAAATTTACTGAACTACGAAAGAAAGGGTTGGAAAGGCAGGGAGGGAAAAATAGACCATTACCTTTCAGATCTGTGACACCACATTATGATGATGTAGTTTGTTAATGAACTGAGAAGTACAGAAACTACCAAATGCCTCTTTGTTATACATCTGGCAAAATCAATATAGCGTTGACACCCTAACCAGTCTGTAACTTACAATACAAAATGTCCTGCGCCTGAAATGAACAAAGACTTCCAGTGTGCTACAACTGGTCAGTGGTGGAGGCACACCAATATTACAACCAAGTCCAGCAAAAGGACACATTTTCTGTTGCTACTCTCATGGATGTGTTGTATAAAAGTGCAGGTGGGGTGGGAGGGGTTACAATTCTTGTAAACCAAGAACAGTGATCACATCTACTATTTGCAAATAAGTTAATGCTGCCTGAGGAGAAACCTACATGACAAAAAGACATCACCTGACCAAGAACATAAAGAAATTTCCAAAAGGCAAGTAACTGAAGAGAAACTAAGAAAAGGGACAGCAGAAGACACACGAAGAGATGGAGTATGCCATATCATTACAGGAAGAACCTCTATTTCTTTGGTGAAGAAGGGGATAATGTGGTTATTTTATCATTTTAATGAAAGTGAAGTTAGAAATGGATCTATTTAAAAAACCTCATAAAACTCTGAATATTTCTTTCTTTTCTATTGTTTTGTGTTTGTTTGCCCCAGATCTGCCAGGTTCTTTCTAGAAAAGTTTGCTCTGGCAGACTTACCAGGAGACGCTTCAGTTGACACAGTCACTGTTTGTTAGCTTCAGCTACCTAGTGTTAGTCAAGATAGGCAAGGTTATGCTGCAATAATAGGAAATAATAGGAAATAGGTTATTTTCTTTCAGTGGTAAGAAACAACAAGAATTTATTTCTAACTCATGCTACATGTCCATCATATGATGTTGTGGAGTCTGCTCCACATTATCCTCACTCTGGAACTTGAACTGATGGAGGTGCTATCATGGGAAACCATAGCCAACTGTGATGACAGAATATGATGGCAAATTTGGGGAATCACTCGCCCTTAGATGCTTCTGCCTACAAGTAACTTGTATGACTTCAGTCCTCATATCATTAGCTGGAACAAGTCACAAGGTACTGCTTAATTCCAAGGAGAAGTGGAGATAATACTTCCTTCTCTATCTCCAAAAGGAAAAGGAAGCTGGATTTTGGTGACCAGTAGTCATATCTTGGTACCACACTGGTCTGGTATCATCAGAGGTGACATACAAAGCAAATGACCTTAATGTACTCTAAATGTCACTACCTAAAATGTGGACATTTATGGTCCTTCAAAATAGAGTCCAGGGCCTCTGGGAATGGGAAGTCCTAGATATTGGGGAGATAAGACTGTAACATTATAAATCCTTTCTTAAAACTGTTTTCATTTTGGGGGGATTAAAAAATGTATATGAAAATAAAAAGTTTGGGGAAGGTATAGCTCAAGTGGTAAAACACATGCTTAGCACACACATGGCCCTGGGTTCAATCCCCAGTACCTCCTCTAAAAATAAATAAATAAGTAAGCCTAACTACCCCCCCCAGTTTTTTTAATAAAATAAATTTAATTTATTATTAAATTTAATGAAATTTATTATTAAACAAATAAAAATTTAAAAATACATAAAGGCCCAAGAAAAGATACACAATCTCAAACAAGTTGTTGGAGAACTAACAGTTGAATATCAAGATATGAATCTAAGCAGGATTTAATATAGATATTGACAAGCTGGTTTTAAAATTTATTAGAAAATGTAAAAACATAAAATTATAGGAATCAGTATGGTATTGGTACATGGAGAGACATATAGATCAATGGGCCAAAATAGGGGGTTCAGAAATACACCCACATAAACATGGCCAATTGATTTTTGACAAAGATGAAAAAAAATTAAATGCAGAAAGAACAGTCTTTTCAACAAGAATGCTGCAACAATTCATCATTCATTTGCAAAATAATTAACTCAGAATGGATCTTAGATCTAAATATAAACCATAAAATTATGTAACTTTTAAAAGAAAATATAGAAAATTTTCATGACCTGGAGTTAGGCAAGGTGTTCTTAGACATGACACCAAAAGCATGATCCATAAAATTTAAAAAATTGATAAACTGGTGCTCATCAAAATTAAGAACTTTTGCTCTGCCAAAGGCTCTGTTGGAAAATGGAAAGAGACAAGCAATAGACTGGGAGAAAATATTTGAAAATCACTTATCTGATAAAGGACTTCTATCCAAAATATGTAAAGGACTCTGTAAACTCACAGTAAGAAAACAAGAACACACAGAAAATTGAATAATTAATTTTGCAAAAAAAAAAAGACAAAAGTTGAACAGATACTTTCCCAAAGAAGATACAATAATCACACAAAAAGACATTCTACATAATTAGCCATTAGGGAAATCCAGATTAAAACCACATATTAAAATAGCTAAAATTAAAAATATTGACAATACCAACTGTTAGCAAGGACAGCAGCAACTAGAATTCTCATACATTGCTGGCAGAAATGCAGGATGGCAAAGCCCCTCCAGAAAATAATTTGGCAATTTCTTATAAAAGGAGACATACACTCACCATACTACCCAGCAATTTTACTCTATGAAAGAAGGCGTAAAGAATCTGCAGATGTGTCTAATCCTTCTCCCATAGAGAAGTCTGCAGAGTGAGGATAATATTCCTGTAAGATAATGTGGTAAACAGAATTCTGCAAGGTTTCTCCTCCTAATCCCTGGGAATATGAATGTGATAAGACATAACATACATGAATAAGTTATATTACATGGCTAAAGGGACTTTATAGATGTAGTTATGGTTGCTAATCAGTTGACCCAAAGATAGGGAAATAAATTTTAGATTATCTGGGTGGGCCTAATCTAATGATATCAGCCTTTTAAAAGTACAGAGTTTTCACTGGCTAGCAGCAGCCACAGAAGTCAGAGATTGAAAGCATGAGAGGAATTCAAGGCACGTTACTGGTTTTGAAGGGTGCTGCTACTCTTTGTTTTTGCCATCAGTTTGTCACATATTTGCCATCACCTGTCCATATAGTCAGACTACAGATGCTTTACCATCAGTTCCTACACCTGGTTGATACATTCTTAATCAATTAATGGTTAAGAGGGAATGTTGATGGGCCAGAACAGGGGAAAAGCCCAGGGTGTTTAAGTCAAAAGCAGGCTGCAATCCCTCAAAATTTACCATCTCTCTGGCTCTACACCATGCCCCCTACCTACCCCTCATCTTCCTAGAAGTTTTAGGTTGCAAAGAATCTTGAATCTGTGTCAGAATTTCAGCCAGGGAAAGATGAGTTTCTGGTAGCCTCACTTGGAATTCTGAATGGATATTCCTGTGGATCCTTATCAGCACGTATTGAAAGAAGTCAAATAATACAAACACCATTAACTATGGTGGAAGTTTTTTCTTACTATAGAGCTAAATAAACTTCATGCATATGAACTGGTTAAATCCGTCTTGATTGGTCCGGGCATGCTGATCACTAATCAGTTTCTAAAGGAAAATGATACTGGATTCCAACCTAACTTACCGTCTGGGGAACACAAATTTCCAGGCTGTTGAAACTTTGCCTCAGAGTTAAGCATATGCACGACTCAATTTGAACAATTTGTTCATATTTTCAGGAGTATAAATTTTATCTCCCCATGTTAATTATCTATTCTTTATGCTTCTTATATGCCCATACAGCATAGCAGCTTTGATTCATAGAATGATTCCTAGAAGCTCAGTTTCTACAACCATCCTTCCCTATCAGAACATTTCTACTCCAATCCGTCTCCAACTCTTCTGTTTTTTCACTCACATTCATTAACTCATTAAGTGCCTGTTAGATGCCTAGCACTGATAGCAAAATAGTAAAGCAACGCCCGTCTTCCCAGCTCTCACACAGTCTACAACGTACTCGGGAAGCACAAGTTTTCAAACACATTTCACCTGTCCTCCTAAAGCCCAGGCACTTCACACCTGGCCCCGCCCTTTCTTCTAGTAGCCACACCCCTTCCGCTCAGGCTCCTCCCCTGCTTTCTTTCTCATCTAGCGCCTTCCCTTCCTCTAGCAGTTCCTACCTTGCCACAAACGATGCCTTCCCTTCTGTTATGCCCTGCAGCAAAGCGCCCCTACTTGCCCCACCAAGCCCCGCCCCTTCACCCATTGGCTCCTCCCACACAGGGATGTGCCCTTTCAATAGCTCCTCCCACTGCCCCACCCATTCCGCTCTGCTCCTCCCTAGGCCCGGCCCACTCTTACTCCGCCTGGTCCACACTACCTCTCGCTTTGGCCTCGCCGCTTCAGAAGGCAGCTTACTTTCGAACTGAGCGGGGCGTCTCGCTCTGCCACCCGTGGAGTGGTCTGGGGCCTCGCCCCGGAGGCGGGGAAGCGGCCGCAGCCGCTCACACCCTCCTGTGGAGCCAGCGGGGTGGAAGGCCCCCGGGCAGCTTAGTCCCCGCCTGCGGGCGACAACGACAGTTGCCCTGGGTTACGGACGCGCTGGAGGCGGAGCAGTGGGCGAGCCCGCTGTAGTGGGATTTGCTGCGGAAGTGACGTATACCCGCCTCGCGCAACAAAGCTGAGCGCTGGAGGCGACGCTTACTGACGGCGACGGGTGCGTTCTCCCGGCAACCTCTGCGCGGTTGCGAACCTTCTAGCCGCGTGTGAGGAACTCGCGGCCGCCGCGAGTGCCGGAGGCCGCATTGCGAGGTACCGTGTAGCCTTAACCACAAGTTAGGGAAAACCGACGTCAGGAAAACCAACCGAAGGGCTGTGTGCCTGCCAGACCCTGGAGTTAGAAAGCGAGAGTTTGGGGCCTCTCTCCCTCTGCACTGTTACAGTTGGTGCGAGTGGTTTCACGGTGGGGGGTGGCTGGCAGCATCCCTGGCCTCCATCCACTAGATGCCAGACGACCAAAAATGCCCCCAGACTCTGCCAGCTGCTTCCTAATCCCCCCTTCCCCTGTAAGGATTATGCTGGGGTGGTGCCGGCCGGAAACTTACAGTAGGTCTTGAAGCCGCTCGCTTGACTGGGCGCTACTAGTTTGAATCCACTCGTATAGGGGGTCACAGTCCGGTCAGGTGGCCATTGGCATCTTTCATATAGATGTAGAAAAGGAGCCCCACGTCGTTAAGTCACTCGTTGAAGACAAGGGCCACCCACTCCGTCCGTCCCTGCTTTGGTGCTGGTACTTTCGAACACCCCGAGGTTGGGAACCTAAGCCCAGAGCCAGGCGTTAGGGGCAAACCACAATTCTGGTTCCAAAGCCTTTCTGCTTTTTAGTTTTAAAAGTGTGGATGTTTCTGTTGGAGAAATATTAGAATCTAAGTCTAATACCACTGTGATTAAATGCCATTTGGGACGGGGTATAGCTCGAGTGGTAGAGTGCATGCTTAGCTTGCACGAGATCCTGGGTTCAATTCCAGTACCCCCCCTCCAAATATAAACAAATAAATAAACCTAATTACCTCCCCCTCATAAAACAAAAACAAAAGCCATTTGGAAAGATGTGTGTACTACTGTTTTTTTACAGAAAGTATTTATTAAAAAGCCCATCAAGTCTAGGGAAAGACCATATTATATGACGTATATATTGTTATTCCCAGACGTTAGAACGAAGTATTTCGCTAGAATACGACTACTTTTTAAGGTATTCTTTACCTAAAATACACATTTTTAAACCTTTCGTATTTCACAGCCTGGAAAATAGTTCTAAAAAGAACTGTACAAAACTGCATACCCTCATTCTACTTTTTCTGTGTTAAAGCACAAAATTTTAATAGCAAAGGATGTAACATCCAGATTATCATAAATGTTTTTGTTAGGTAAATTTTAGTAATGATACATTTCGAGATCTTTCCATTTTGAAGCTTCTAATGTTGGTATTTAGAAATGTTACATCACTCTTTTAAAAGTATTGAAAGAAATCTAAATTAAACAGCAATTTGATAGCCATAAACATGTATTTTAAAATACATGAATAAACTGAAAATGGAAAATTTTTCTTTTGCTTTTTCTCCTTAAATTCATAATTGTATTTTTAATAAATTTATTTCTTGCCCTTTTATAAAAAGTTCTTTTGGGGGAGGGGTAGGAATTAGGTGTCTTTATTTGTTAATGGAGGTATTGGGGATTGAATTTAGGACCTCCTGCATGCTACATGTGCACTCTACCTCTAGAGCTATACCCTCCCCCTCATAATTGTCTTTTTATTCTATTTTCTCCACAGAATTTGATTCTAACATATATTTATGGTCAAATATTTTATTAAGTAGTCTTTTTTGTGCAACACTATAATTTGAAAATGAAATTTAAAATTTTTTCTTAAGACCAGAAAGCTAAAACAGCTACATTTCCCACCCTCAGATTTAGAATTACCTTTATTCCTACTCAATTGGCAAACAATAGGAATATATTCCATGTGTTGATAAACTGTAAGAATGTTACTGGAAGTATGTAGAATTAAAGAGGTGAGGGTGTCCCTCTCTTCTTGCCAGCTGATGTTTCCATGGGTAAATATGACATATTGCCAGATTGAGATTCAGCCCTGTTTATTTGGGGTTTTTTTCCATAGATGTAAGGCTTGTTCATATGAAGATGCCCATGAAAGGGATTTTGTTACTGCATTGTCTCTTAACTTTAAATGCCTTCCCACACGAGAAATCACATAGTAAGCAACAACAAAAAATCGAATTATCAGCTGACAGTTTGGTTAGGAAGGATCTTCAGTTCTTTTGAAAACAAAATCTGAGACCATCTGACTAGGAGGACTTGGTATCTAGTCATTAGAAAGCTATGTTCTGTTTCTGGGAAGTATAACAAGTCTTAGTTAAGATTTACTGAATGACTATTACAATTCTTTACTGAAAGCATGTTCTCCTACGTACATGTGAAGTTGGAAGATCTGGTAATTGATTTCCTTCACGCTAATGGTGCCTGCATACCCATTTAAAATGGGCTTGTAATCACTGTTGAAGCTTAGTGGGTAAAAGCATGGCTGAGCAGAAACATTAAGGGAGTGTGTTTGGCTAGTCATGTTTATAAACAGCCAATATAGAGATTGAATCAAGATACTAAAGCTCTAGTAGAATTAAATCTCAGATTTGGCAAAGGGCTGTTTCAAAAACACCAAGATGGGGGCAGGAGGTATACAGAAACTACCTTCTGCTCAATTTTGAACTTAAATCTACTCTTAAAAAAAAAAAGTCTGTTTAAAAGGAAAACAGAAAAAGACCGATGGGTATAGGTGGTCAATAGTAAAGTCATGTTGCTGGGAGGAAAAAAGAATTTAATCTTTGTGTAAAGTGAGGGCCCCCACTGAGAAAGGCAAATGCATGGTTAGGTTTGAAATAATACAGTAATTGTTGAGAAGTAATGATGGCAGTTATAGTTTAAGTTTTAAAACTGAAGGTAGGTGGCAATGTGACATTTTAGCAGCCCCAGAAAAACTGTACAAATCTAGAAAAATTCAGAAATTGACTTGCTGAGAGTTGATCTGAAATACCAGCCTTTTTCATAGTAGCATGCCTATACAAGAGCCCTCTAGTGTTTTTTTTTTTCTCTAGTGGTTTTTTAACTTAAAATTTAATCAGCACCTATTATTATAACAGAAATGAGGGTTGAATTGGCTCTGTTCTCTCTATATATAGAGAAAGTTGTCATAGTTCTGTTCTTTGATAAAACTCAGAGAGGGAGTAAAAAGTATGCGTGTGTGTCTTTGGGAAAGGATGGGAGAAAAAAACCTGCCCACCCCTTTCAGACTATAATCACTGATGTACTTCCCTCTAGAATGGCCATTTCTGCTTCCTACCTGTAGAACATTCATCCTCCCCCAACCCCCAGATTTCACTTTAAGTATTTTTTTTGCAGTAACTTACATTTGCTTAAGGAACTGGTGAATAGTGGGCCAGGAAATGTGAAAATCCTAACCATGACTACCAAGCTCTTTAACCATCTTACCTATCTGTAAAATGCTGGTAGTTGTGGATATGCCCTACCTAGCTCTGGCTATTGTTGTGAAGATCAAAGGAGGTAATATATGAGAGTTCCTTTGAAACAGAAGATTGTATATAGGAATTATTACTCATCCCTTTCTATTTCCAAAGCAGATAGTAAAATTAATTAACCTGATTAATAATCACAGCTTAGCAGTGACACAGCCATTGGCACAGTCCTGGAAAGAATGAATTCTTTCTGCAGATAAATAGTAAAGATTTGTTTATTATTTACCTACCTACTTACTCTGGGTTCTCATATTTGCTTTTCATTTACCATAAGATAATAGTGTCTAAATAATTCCCATTTTCCGGTAGTAACTAGAAAAATGATAGAGGAGTTTGCTCTTTCCTGTGTGTATGCACCTATATTTATGTGTCTGTGTAATATCCCCCCTCAAAATATTAGCATACTACAGTTACCTTAATTAGAGTATGCCATGTTGGCCCATAAAAGTTTCACTGTGTCCATTTATGTTCCAATTACTTAAGTAGAAACCTTATGTGAACATTTTTAGCTTTCTTAAGTAAGCCATGTGCTATGCTGATCAAAATTTCACCTTTCTTCCTTTTTACTCGTCTCTCTTCCAACTTATTATAGGAAAACACAGTCAGTGATTTCTTTTTCATTATATTAAAGATGATCAAAAAATAGTACATAATGCTGTCAGGCAATTAGATCTTTGCTTAAGAAAAACCAGATTTGTGACTAAAAGGAAACATTTTCTTGGAACCTTTCATTGTTACGGCTTAAATTTCCTTTTAAAAAAATAACTTTCCATAAGTTAAAGTTAGCATATGTACAAATACTAGCAAAGTCATTAAATGAAATATTAACAGCAAAACAAAAAACATAATTAAGAAGATGAATATTTTATTAAACTGTTTCTTATTTTCCTGCAAGGCTGTTGCTTCATTGTATAAAAATAGCACCAGCAAACACAGAATATTGCAAAATTAAAATAGTACTGTTTGTTCTTCATCTGACACTGTACAACTAACAAAAACTTTTCTCTATTGCCAGTTATTTCCAGTGGGAAGATCATTAAGTATTTTCACCCCAAATCCGGGGATGTATGTAAGCAAGTTACAATATTATATAAGGCTTAAGATGACAATGTTACCCTTCAATTACATACTTTTTATAACTATAACTAGTTTTTACCACAGATAATTTCAGAAATTCTGAATGTTATAACTCGAGCCTAGCCTAAAAATCACAGGGTGCTTTGAAAAAGCATAGTATTTATCTGATGCTGTTAGTTAAGGGGTATTTTTCTTCTGGTAACATTGTTGCAAGCAGTTTCTTTTACTAAAAGCTGCTTTTTAAAAATCTTCTATCCACCACTAATTTAAGACAACTATGCTAGATTAAGTTGTTTCAAACTAGTTTATTTAAGGGTTCCATTTTCACTCTTCAATAGATTTTATATATTTCTCATATGCTTCTTCACTCATTAGTTCATCTAGTTCTGAAGGATTACTGAGTGTCATCTTGATCAGCCAACCT